ACTGACCTTATGTTCAGCGGGCTGCGCGCACAGACACAAAGTAGTTTCAAGGAGACTGCCTAAGGATGTAATATTGTTGCGTTGATGTGTAGAAATGGATGCATCAGGTTTATACTTGCCTAAATACAATTGCAAAGTTACCATTTCATGACAATGCCCAACCTTTACAAAAATGAGCATTGCTATAGCAAATGATCTAGCTGCTAGTATAAAAGAGATACTGATTAACTGTTTCAGACGGGAATGTGAGAGGGGTAATGTGTTAGAAAACCTTGTACAAAACACCCTAATTTGCTGTGTGATGTTGGTAAGTTATTCCACATTTTAATCCTTTTTTCCTGTTCTTTGACTTTGCATACTTTTAGGTTATCATGCATATGTTTTTTCAAGGTTGTCTTTAAATATTTATGTAATTTATGTAAAGTTCATGAAATAGCTCAAGAGTTTAAATATGCCTAAGTATCTATAGGAATAGGGCCGGAAATAGAGATTTCTACAGAACTGGGGATTTCCATTACTATGTTGATACAGTGCCTAGCAGTTGGTCTTGCATATGTCAGCAAGCAAAGAATAATAGTAGCAAAGGTCTATGTATAATGGTAAATATATGAACGAATGGTAAATATATGAATGAATTACGATCCTTGATAAAATTTTGATACGGTCACTTCTTGTAGATCATGACATTTAACATACTGTCATGTTTTATCTATTGTTTTTATTTTTTTAATCTGAGAGCTGTTTCAAAACTAATATATTAAGCTAAGAGAGCAATTTAGAATGTCACTAACTGCTCTGGGTTTTTTTCTGTCTTGTATATGTGTATTGTATGTAAAATTTGATATATGCATTCTATCTATATGCATTTCAGTCTTTATATAAGAATACTGAGGATGGAGAAAATACTAAGCTGTAGTTCCTAAAATAAATAAAGCTTTTAAGATGCATTTGGTTTTACCTCTTCAAATTAAAATGGAACTAACCATGCTGTTGCTCCTTTACTAGGTGGTAGGCGGCATGACGTGGTGTATCACTACTTGCAGCTTTGATATCGATGTTGATTTATTGTTTCAGGAAAACTCTACTATTGGTCAAAAAATGTAAGTTAATTAAATGGCAAGTGTGGTATTTTTTTTCTTCTTAGAAAAGAAGAAGTGGGCGGGGGGGAAGTTACCTGACATTTGCTTGTTTATAAGAAGGATTTTTAGTCCAAGGTTCCCACTTTTCAAGACCACCCATTTGCAAAACAGTGCACTGGTTTCTGGGCTTCTCAGACCGTAGTTCCACAAACTCTAAAACCCAGAAAGAAGCTTATTCCAAAAAAGGCAGTGCTAGTCCCCTCTGGGCTGCCATGTTCTTATATCCCAGCTAAGCAGTGAAAGCATTTATGTGACTCCACATCGAACTGGATTGGGAACTGATGCAGATTAAAACCTACCAAAAAAAAAAAAGAAAATAGTTTTAACATGAATCAGTTCCTGGATCCAGTTCTCTATGCAGCTGCACAGATGCTTGTGCTGGCACAAAGGGATGATGTAGAGGCCAAAACAAAGGGCAGAGGGAGACCACGCTGCTGGAAACTGGAGTGCAACATTAGAAGACCTTCCTTGAGTTCTCTATGTCTGCAGTTTTGCTGTGTAAATAACCTCTGATTCTCCTTTGTGGTTCTGGGTTGGAATTGTAGGCATCAGCAAACAGAATTTAAAGCATGACACTGTTGCTGAAACAGTTACCTGCTTCATACTGAGGAGGACGAGTTCCTTCCTGGTAGTGACCCAATGAGACCATTTTGGTTTGATTCATTTCTTATGCATGGAATTTGCTCATAAGCCAGCTAATTCCTGTATTAGGGAGATTGTAAAAATTGTTTATGCTGAGAAAGGGAATACATTCTAAACTGCATTATTTCTTTATGCATTTCTGTGATAAAAGAGCCATAATTAAAATTTGCAGGAAGTAAGAATAGCCTGTCAAGTGACAGTTGCATGAAGAGACTTTTGTTTGCTCAGTGTAATTGAAAAGAATATTATTTCTGTGCTGTTTTCTTGAAAGTCATTTAGCATTGGCAAGACTGCAACACATTTAAAAATAAAGATTTGTGGTTATTGCCATTAAACTTGGAGACACTCAAATCATCCTAGATAACTAACTACATAAAGCTTTGTTAAGTGCACAGAATTAAGTACAGACTAAGAATGAAGACGGTGGTGATAGTTTTTATAATTGCCATCTTTGTTATCCTTAAGAACAGCAGGATAGGAAATAGTTAAGTTGTTCTGAAAATATTCTGTTATCTTTCCAGCTGACTGGATGCAAAACTGGCAAAACAAAAACCAGGCTCCTCTCCCAAAACAGCAACAATGATTTATTTGTAAATCTAAAGTGTTCAGAGTCACACAAGCATAGGCTGTTTTGATGGCCATGTAATGTTTACATTGGTGGTGGCTCAGTGCTTCTGTGATGTTCTCAAGATGAGGAAAAGTCAAGTTGTGTTTTCTCGGTAGTATTCTGAAGGCATTTGATGGTGTCCTGTTATTTAACTGCTGGGTTGAAATGAACATGGAAACATACATTAGGAGAGGATCTTGCATCTACTGGATAAATGTGTGTGTGGGGGTTAATTGCATTTGCTTTGATGGTGCTGAGGGGTGCTGCTATTTTTGTGTTGTAGAATATTAGTATGGTGCCATAGTGAAAATTGCCTTATAAGAATGATGTCAAAGTTTTCACTTCTCTTAAGAAGTATAACTTTTCAGGCTCTGTTCCCAGGCTTTGGTCTCTGTCTCATATTTCTTTGCTTCCTCTTTTATTCTTCCAGAATATCAGTTGTCCATTTGGGCAGTACTGAATATCACTGAGGTCAGTACTGGATCAGTTAATTTTTTTCCTTCAGGGAAAAATAGTTTTCCCAATACAGTGTTCATCCTCAGTGCAGACACCTGCCTTAAAAATGTGCTTGACAGCATTGGCAACAAAAAAAATACCTTGCCCTGAAATAAGGGATTCAGTGGAAGCAGGATGAATCCCTTTTGTTAGGGTAATCCTTGGATTTTACCAACTCTTACCTGAGCTGTAGAATGAGATGGTTGCTAGCAAATCCAGTTTTATTCACTTCAAAACCATGTGAAGTATATTGCGTATTTAGCTTTTAGGTGTAATATATCTATTTAAACTCAAGAAGTTTCAGTAGTAATGTCAAGATATATTTTGGGAGTTCTGCTAAACAAATTTTTAAGTCCTTACATTTGATTCTGGACTTCGAGTGCATACCTTTTACTTAGTATAACTGTTTTAAAAGCTAGTGTTTCTTCATGTGTGCATGTATTATAATATGCAGAGGTGTTTGTAGATATATCTTACATGGGCATTTCATCTGACCAGACATGCAGATCTTAAAATTTTCTGTGTGATACTATAAATGAAATCACAAGCTAGGAGCCTGCAGGAGGGGTTTAATCACCTTTTCACAGACTAATAATATATATAGTACAATGTAAAAGCTATTTTGTAAATAAAAGTTTGATTGCTTTTCACAGCTGTATACAGTGGAAGCCACTAGAAGGAACCTTCTAACTACTAACTGTGTTTGCAAACATAATTTGTAATTTACAAAAGAAAACTGTAGCATATATACATATGTGTTTTTGTTGTTTTATAATAGTGCCTTAACTGAAAAAATTGTGTCAGTATTACCAAAAATGAAGTGTCCTCATCGTTTGGAACCACATCAGATCCAGGGACTGGATTTCATTCATATATTTCCTGTTGTACAGGTAATAATTTTGTGATGTATCGATACTTTGCTGAAAAAGGCTGTAAAACTTGCATAAAAAATTTAACAAAGATCTGTATTATTATTTGGCTCTTTAACTTTGGAATGAATAATCACAGAGAAGTAGTTTAAATAAATGTTTTTAAAGAATTGAGTGACATTATGGATGGTAGAATTCTTAAGCATTGTTTGATCCACATTTAAGAAAAACACAAAACAAACTCTTTCAATTCTTTGAAATGGAGTCAGATTCTGCCTTTTGTGGAACATCTGCTTAAAGAAACTAAAGTTTAAGCTTGTTTCGGAATCTGATAATCTACTTTGCCAGACTAGGAAATAAAACAAATATCTTCCAGTCTATGTTTAAGCTTATGGAGTAAGTTATGCAGATAGTCACTCAGTCAGAAGGATATGGATAAGGCGAAAGCCGGTTGGAGTTGTTTCTTTAAGCATAATTCATCCTTCATTCGTATCGCTTAAAAACTGTGTGGGTGGAAAAATAAATTGCTCTGACATGTGACCCTATTGCTCCGGATTTGTTGAGCAGCATGAACTGACCGTGTGCATACTCATAGTTCTCCATTTTATTAAGGTTTAAGCTAATATGTGATGTGTTCCAGTTATGTGTGGTATCTTGAGAATCCTTGGTATGTCGTTACCATTTTTTGATTTTACTTTCATCTGCACACAGAAATGTATCTTTGATAAATAGGGAAAATGAAGACTGTTAGCAAGCTGCTTTTTCATTAAATATCTCCGTACTGCCTGCCTGTGAAAGAATTTAGCAAGTAAGAATTTAATCTAAATTACAGTTTGTAAGAAGTGGGGAAAACTTCCGTTGTTTCTTTCTTGTTATCTTCTAGTAGGGGGCTCCCCAGAAAAAACACACTTAACTTTTTGTGGGGAGTGCAGTTATGTAGTGTCTGCTACTGTTACACAGCTTTCAAACTGTGCTTATGCTGCCTAAGGTGGAAAGTTTGTATCTTGTTAATGTGAGCTTTTACTTCTAAACTTGCATTTTCCTACCAAAAAAAAAAAAAAATCCCAACCCAGGTTAATTTCCTGCCCTGGTCACTTGATGATAATGATGTTGATAATGAATGGTTACACTTATCAGATACAAGACTTCTCTCACAGGAAAAAGAATTCCTCTCCTAAAGTGCGAACGTAAACTATTACTCCTGCTGTAAAAACTATAGCACTAGGTGTTCTTTTCTCTGACCTGCTTTACCCAAAGTCCTGATTTGGGATATTACCTCTGGAAAGGAGAAACATTAATTCTAAGCAGGGAGGAAATTGGCTTCTAGATTTCTCTGAGTGCAGTGATTCTCAGTATTAGGAGCTGGCCAGTAGGTGGTATATCTAATCCATACTTGGTGAAAAAGTCTTTCTTGATGAACTTAGTTTTTTGTATGTAGAGGATGTTTTTTTAGAAATTGTGGCTTTCTATCAGGTCCCTGTGAAGTTCTGCCTGCTCCAGATACTGTTGGTTCCTCATTTCATCCCAACCAAGACAGGCCTTCGAGAAAACTTTTGTTGGTGTCACCAGTATACTGTGTTCTGAAAAAGACCATGCAAGAGCTGTAATAGGCTGACCATACCATGGCATGTAGGAATTACGTATTTGATAATGACACTTTACTCAATGTCCTGTTACATTCAAGATTTCATTTGCTATCTGTAAATCTCAAATCAGTCCCCAAATAATACAGAAGCTCTTTCCTCCACCTGGCATTGTGTCCCAATAGCTCTTGCATTGTGCAGGCTACTCTGGTGAACTTGATGGGAGGAATTTAGATGAATCCTTCCCTACAGAAAGAAATTAGATTGAGTTGGCTCACTGCCATAGCCTGCAGCAGAACTTAAAAAAAACAAACAAAACCAAAAAACTAAAAAAAATTCCAGTGGGCAGAAATGGTGCTGTTCTTCCTAGTAAATTCTGCTTATGTTCACAGAGAAAAGTAGGTACACAATCTTGTGTTGCGATGTGCTTTGTAATTAATAGTCTGCATTTTCATCTCTCTTGTTGTCATCATCTTCCCCTCACTTTCCAGGGGTTCATGGTTACAGCACAGAAAACTATTGCTGGTTCAAACTTGGATCCCAAGATTGATCTGATTTCTCATGTGACCTCCTGCACAGGCTGTCAACAGCCCCCAAGATTTATCTTCTCCAACATTATTTAAAATGTAGTTCAATCTCTTGTGGCTTTTTGTGTGGTCTTGTAAATGTCAGAAGTCTTTTTTTCTTATACGGGCATGTGGTGGTTCTTGAACACTGCACAGGCTTGAAGATATGTCTTTTTATGGTGGAGCTGTAGTTTTTGAAAACAAAAAGTGATCTATAGTGGGAAAATTTGATAGAAACGCATATAACCTAGCTGTAATGGCTTCTACCTGGGGTACAGCCAAGATTAACGAGATGAGGTTGTGTTCCAAGCAGTGCCTTCTGTCAGAGTATAACGGACTAATGATACAAGACAGGTTCAGTGTTGGGTCCTGGCACTGAGAGCCCGGAACATTTTCTGTTCAACTTCTAATTGCTTCAGATTCCAGAAGAGTTCCAGCCCATCTCCTCCCACTCAGACTGATAGAGAGGGGTGCTGTGAACAGTTCAAGCTTGCTTTGTAGAAGGATGACCATACCACAGACTGTATAAAAGCCACCTGGACTATCCATTTGTTTTAAAGTATGCTCCCAAGGGCTTCTTTGGAGTAGAAAGGGATGAACCTGTATGCATGCAGAGTATAATCACATTTTTGTATACATGCCGTAAATCCAACACTTCGGAGAGCCGAGGGATTTATTATTTATTCAGTGTGACCTATTCAGTAGAAGGAGAACATTGATAGCTTTTAGAGTACAGTAGAGTTTTGAGTTTTTTGAACGTAGAATAGGATGTATGTTGTGTTGGCTGGTACAGCTGAGCTCTTGGTCTGGTGAGTTGTGAGGTGTGCAGGCTATTCCATGGTATAAATGAATATAAAAAGCCAGAAAATTAACAGTCCTTTGTTTCGTGAACTACTGCTGTGTATTTTTTCTATATTATGTATTATTCTGTATTTTGATAACATAATATTATTAATGTTTAACAAGTAATAACAATGAATACTATAGATAATATAACTACTTAGTGGGGTGAAGTGTACTTTGTTAAAATGTATTTTTAGCTTAAGGAGTAGATTTCTTGTGCTAGGATGTAGGGTTTATGCCACTCAAATTTTTGGGAGGGCACTTCAGGGTTTGGTTTTTTTTTTTGGAGGGGACATTTTTTTTTTTTCCTCCTTGAAGATGCAAGCTAAAAGAATAATATTTAAAGTGGCCCACATCCATTTCTATTCCACAGATGCTCTTCGTTTTCCTTTTTTGGAATTATTTTATTGAAGATCCAATTTTTTGGATTACAGAAATTCATATTGGCAAAATGTCAATGAATTTTGCTTATGCTTGTGAAGATTTCATATGTTTTTGTTAATAAATGAATTTGTCAGCTAAGAATTCCTAATAGTTGAAATTTGCAGTAGAATTTTTTTTCTATACTTACTAGAAGAAATTAATTAGATTGTAAAAGCAATTCAGTATATGAGAGGTTACAGTGCAAGCTAAATAAAGGGGAAATCATGCAATAAAATAACTAATTCTGCAATACACTATTTAAAAATAACATTGGGAAAAGTGTTTTTTCGGGATACCAGGCTCTGCTCCAAGGAGCTTATAAAGGAAGGCAGTCTGATCTTCTTTGGACTATCGAATCCCACTGTACTATGAACTCATAGTATGTATGGCTCATTGAGGTTTCTATGGTTTAACAGGATGAAGAATATTTAGGTTTTTCTGCGTAAAACTTTGATTATAAGAAAAGCCATGTGGTTTCTGAGCTTATGCATTAGCTGATCGCTCTACTGAGCTTTTTAGTACATAGGAGAAGAGCAAGTGTGAAGTTTATAAAATAGCTAATGCTGAATCATTTTGTTAGGAGTAGGTCCTCGAGTTGCTGTGTTTACAAATAAATGCTCCTGTTTGTGTGCTTAAAATGTGCTTTTAGCTTTTATCATGTATTAAAAATAATTATGCAGCTGGTGTTTGCTGCTGTTATTCTTCCCCTTTCCACTGATACAAACTTTTTTTTCCCCCCAGTGGCTGGTGAAACGTGCAATAGAAACAAGGGAAGAAATGGGAGACTATATCCGTTCTTACTCTATATCACAGTTTCAAAAAACGCATAGACTACCGGAGGTAAGATCAAGCCAGTTCTTGTTTCTATTATAGTATGTCAAATTCTCAGGTGCACTACCAGCTTCACAGTTCTGAAATCAGCACAATACACCACAGTAGCCTTTGCTATCATTTTATTGATCTGTCCTAGAGGACTCCATGCACAAACTCAACCGGGAAAAAAATTAAAACATTATGACAGAGTTCATAGATACTGGTTAACTTTTGCTTAAGAGTTGCCTTAGTTTTTCTGCAGTATTTGGTACTTCTCTGTCATAGAATCATAGAATGTCCTGAGTTGGAAGAGACCCACAAGGATCATGGAGTCCAACTCCTGTCCCTGCATAGGACAATCCCAAAAATCACACCAGTCTGGCTTGCCAGGTAGCTGGCTTCTGGTGTGGCTGTAGAGCTCTGTTGAGCATTTCCAGACAAACCATGGACTGGAGCTACATTGCCTGAAATGTGTTCGAGAACAGCTGGCATGCTGTGGAGAAGCTGATCTAGCTACATGAGAACTGATATGCTGTTAATGCTCTATAACTTGGGTTTTGTTTTAGAGTGCGCAAAGTCAGCTCTTGTCTCCCTGTATCCAAACCCCAAAATTTGTTCTTGAAAACTAGATTCCTAAAAAATTTCATTCAAAAACTGAACTTGGGGAAAGACAGAGAGGACAGGTTTAGGTTAAAAGGAAATACATTTGTGTCTGTAAAATACGATTGCCAGAGGAATGAGAGCTGCAGCTTTATCTAGAAGTGTAGTGGTAAGAGTAATTTTGCAATGTTTGAGGTACCTTGATAATATTCCTTCTCCTTCTGGTAACAGCCAAATGCTGCCGACTTTGAAGTTACATGCTTAGAACGGTGTTGTGATCCTCTCTTCTTCCCCTTCTGCAGTAATGATATGAAGGCTTGTTGGTGTAGAAAAAGAGCTGGAACGAGCTCGGATTTGTGCCTATAGTTCAGAGCCATCGGTTCTGTTCATGCATATCCCAAGGCAATTCCATATTTAAAACCTAGAACCCAAGTTTTATCTCTAATTCAGTAACAGCATTAAAAGTAGATGTCCCTAGTATTGGGACAGACAGACAGATTTTATTAGTTTGAGGTGGTTTGGATTTTGTTTTGTTTTTTTGATTGTTTTTAATACTTAGAAACTAAAATAACAGTAGGGGAAACCTCTGTTTTCCACATTAAGCCTCCCCCCCCCCCCCCCCCCCACTTTTTTTTTTATATTAATGTTTGGGCACCCCGGGACAATTAAGCCCCCCCCCCCCCCCCAACTTCATTTCTTCAGTATAGTAATGATTGGAGATCCTGGTAGCGGGCTGGGGTTGCATTTGTGTCAGGTACTGTATAAGCAGAGAGCAGAAAGACTGCTGATCTGGATACAGTTTTAAAGACCTATCTACCTGTATCTGATGAGGGAAGCAAATGCTTTTCTGTGTTACAGGAAATCACTGACACTTCACCAAATAATTGGGCAGCTCAGTTAGAAACTATTTGACAACTTTGTTTGCTAAACTCATTACAATGGTTGAGATTTAATCTCCATTCCTGGTATTTTTAATCACTTCCGTTAATGTCTTGCAGGATGATGAATTTATGCAGAGAAAAGAGAAGGCTATCAAAACTGTTACTGATATCTTTGTAAGTATGTTAGATTTTTTTTTTATGATCAAGAAGCAATTGGTTTTAGTAATGAAATGGTGGTGGTTAATTCTGTTTAATGCAGCCAATCCTGGGTTTTCTCAGGAGAAGGTCCCAATTAAGTTACATGTTGAGCTTCGTTCTTAGAACAGGTCTCAAATGCCAACATATCAGATTGAAAACCTTTTAGTTGTGCACTATACGAGTAGATAAACCATATCAATTGCCTACACAGAGTGTGTGGAGTTCCACACTATCAAACAAAAGTCACAAGGTAGCTTACAGGCTATTAAACCCTCAGCAGACTAAGTGTTTGAAGTTATCAGCAGTTGGACTATTTATCTTGAAATTAATCAAAATGGCAATGATCTCCTCAATTTGAATGTCTGCATTTCAGAACTTGTCTTTTTTACTTCTCGTGATTAACAATGAAAATATACACCTTACTTTGGAAACGTTCTTCAAGTAGCAACTGTTGGTTGGGAAAGGTGGTATCACTTGTGTTCTCCCTCTTCAGGTGCAGATCTTCTAACTATTGGATAAACTGTTTGTTTATATTTTTTGAAAGCTTGTTCATGAGCACTACCAGGAGTGACATGTAAAATACATAGGCTGCCTCACTGTCTCATACCTGAATTCAGATGCCTAGCTAGCAACTGGAGTTTCTGTCCTTGCTTTCTCTCTGTTTTCCCTGTTTGCTTGTGACTGTCAGTTCACCATTTCTGACTCCAACAGTTTGCTACATTTTTTTTTCTTTTGACCATCTTGATAAATTCCCAGGCCAGCATTTTTGAAGGGATGAGAAATCTGGGTATGCTTTGAATGGGACACTGCCAAGGCTCTTCAATAGGTGGTGAAACCCCACTCTTCTGAGAAAATCAATGCTATTTCAGGTAGCTCTAGCCAGACACCCTAAACTCTTCGTCCATGGATAGAGGTGTTAAGTGCCAGTATAACGAGCTATATGATAGATTGCATAACGGACCAGACAAGTCATCTTACTCTTTTGTCATGTTTTGGAGGTAGCTTTTTTCCATATTAACAATCTGAGTGCTGCTGAGCCTAATATATTGTGGTTGAATTACAGTGTATGTTTATAGAAAAACATTGCTATGAAAGTCTCCAGGTGATGACCAATGCCCTTGTTAATCTATTTCTATTTGAATAATTACTCTTGCTTGGAAAATTTCAATTACAGTCTCTAACTGTTGTTCCCCATGGTTTGGTTTTTTTTTTTTTTTTTAATTATTAGCAGACTTACAATGAGTCTTTTACTCCAACCAGCAATATTTGTCTTTCCAGTGAGATCTGTTTTCCGTTTTACGAGTTAGCTCCCCTTATAAATGGGAAGTATTGTTTTGTTTGTTGTTGTGGATGGAGTGAGAGTGCACTTCACTCATAAGAGAGAAGCAACAATATACTTTATTGATATAAAACAGTGAGTTAACAAAGTCCATTGGTAAATGTGACAGTGGTTTAACAAGATTCGATGGCAAGGGGCACTTGATTATTTACTGCATAGAGGACAGGGTCAGACAAAACTGTGAGGGAGACCCTCCCGTTGAGTCATGGGGTTCAGAAAGGGCCCCCTTGCTTTCTAAAGTCTAGGAGTCTAGGTGCGGCTGGATCCAGTCCTGGTCCCAGACTTGGTGAATGGTTTATGTCTAAAGGATTATATATGCGCAATCAATCCTTTGTATCACTTAGCTGAGATTTCAAAGTTTAGCATGCTATTAGTCACTTACCGAGGATCTGATGCGCCAAGGATTCTCTCAGCCTCGAGGAGTGACCTTGAGAGGCATCCCTACTCAAGGGGAGATCCTGGCGTGCAGCCTGCTGCCCTGCGGGAGAGTTTGACGGGCTCTGGGCTGTCCACTATTTAAGGAGTAAGATGATTGACATTTAAGGAGTAAGATGATATGACAATAGTCATATTTGCATATCAGCAAGAGGTCTGGGTCCCTGCTCCGGACAGCCCTTGGCTACTGTGTTGCCATCCATCCCGAAATTCCAGCACAAGCTGGATGCAGCCATCATGACCCCCACTGGTGGTTATTGCTTATGTGGGGCAGGGGGGAGCACACTGCCACATTTGTGCACCTGTGTAACCCTTTACATTGAGAGAGAAGGCAAATCCTTGTAAGAAAGCAAAATCCAAATGAGTGTTATAACAAGTAGCACTTGAAATTCCTTGAGCTTCTGCTTATTTTCAATTTTCAGAATAATTGTCCTAATTTTTCAAGTGTTTCAGGTGTGTCCATTTTCTACCTGCGTTGTCTTTAAATAGCACTAAAGATTATTCATCCAAGTGGCTGACACCAACCTTGTCACTGAAGAGGCGGAAACAAAATAATCACAGTGCTGCTATGAGACACCAGTACTTAGAATTTTTAGTGTCATTTAAAAAAAAAAAAAGAAAACAGAAAATATTTGCTTAACAGTAATGAAGGGATCCCTTTGGTTGCTGAGGAACAGAGGTGATTTCAAGGCTTAGTTTTCACGTTCTAATAATTTGTTTTTTTAATTTTATTCTGTTTCATTAATGCATTTATTTGGGAGAACTTGTCTGAAAAGGAGGAATGCAGTCTCCTTTCAGTGTGCCGTTACCTAGTAAATGTCAGGTCCATTCAAGTGCCTTGTGCAAAGTCCCATGGTGCTCGGTGGAGTTCCCTTTGCATATCTACCTGCATGTTTTCTGGAATTGCTTTTTAGAGCTCGAAGAGAATGACATGGCAAAGGTGAAGGAGGTACATGTATGCTAGATCAGGTGTTTCTTTGCTGGTTGAAGCCACTGAATTGGTTTTCACTTGCCCACTATATTAGAGCTGCTAGTTTAAAATTCATAGGTCATGGTCCTGGAATCAGATACCCGTGTGTCTACTTCTGCAGCTTAGGGAATAGTTCCATATTCAGGGTCCAAGAATGAAACAGATAATGGAAAGCAAGGAAGACAAGGTATAGTCTTAAAAGTTTGATAGTGTTTTGCATCATTCAGCTAGCCTGTCTGAATATCTCTATCTGCAGAGTTGATAACAGGGTATTCTGTCTTCTCCTCCAGATCACAGATCTTTATTTTTTAGGTGCATCTTCATGGTAGATAAAGTTTTGATATTTGTTCATCACTGCCCAGGGTATCATTAGACAAACACCTCTTCCTTAAATACATGAGCTCTGTCAGGATTATATCCTCTACAGCTGGCACCTGATCTTCTTAATGGAAGATTAGTTCATGAGATCTTTTAAGGTGTCAAGGCACAAGTGCAGTCTAGAACACACAGAGTGAATTTCCAGGGGGGAAAGTGCACAAGCTTTCCTATCTATCCATAGGAACTGGAATAAGGAGAAGGCGGCTATTAGATAAAGGCTCTTCTGCAGGTCACCTTTAAATCATTATGCATTGGAATGGGAAGAGAAATCTACTCTTGTAAAAGAGGACCAGCAAGTGTGAAAGATTAGTCTGTTGTCTGAACTCATTATTATAACTCTGGTCTAAGGACCTACCCTGCTCTTCTCAGGGGGACAATACAATGAGATTTATGGTCATGATCAGGCCTAAAGGTTAGAAAAGGGAATATTAAATATCAGTAATGGTTGTTGGCATAGGAACTACTGCTGCTGGAAGTACTGTCACCACTATCTAGTGAGCTGAGATTCTCTTGCAGTGGTTTTGTTCAGCTATTCAATTATCTGATGCCAAGACTAATGTTTATGGTATGATGCCTACGCTTTATGTAGCGCAGGTATAATACGGAATGCCACCATAAAAGCTGTAATTATTTTTATGACTTACGTTGCTTTTCTGGAGGTGTGAAAGTACATTTTGTGGGAGATTCTTGATCATAAAAAGCTTTTCCATGTGACAGGCAAAAATGTAGCAAGATTTAATAGCTGGAAATGAAGATGACAGAAATTCAGGTTAGAATTGAAGTAAAAATTGCAAAGGGTAACTGGCAAATTCAGGAGAAACTTGCCAAGGAATACTGTTTTCACTCGTTTGAAATCTCTGCTTTGGGATTACATGTCTTTGAAAAAGGTTGAAAGCTATTTCAGCAATGTTATGGTGCAGGCATTGCTTCTTGAAAATAATAGTTTATGTTGTACAAAAGGTCAGATCAAGCAAAAAATAATCTTCCTCTTTTATTTTCTTTTAGAATCTTTGCAACTTCTTGCATTGAACCTTTTGTCCCATGTGAATAGGATTTTTCTGAAGTTAAATGTATATATAGAAAGCATTGATTTCAACTTTTGTTTTTGTAATTATTTGTTCTAAGTATTCTGAGCCTGGGCCTCAGAGGATTTAAAAGATATGAGTGTAAAAGGGATCAGAAGAGGGGAGCATTCCTTTTTGATGCTGATTATTTGGTGATGGTGATGAAGTTTTTCTCTGCTGTGATGAGGGCTGGAATTTCATTTCAGAAAAACGAGAAGAGAAAATGTCATTAATTGATTAGGAGGGACATTTTTTAAAAAATAGCAATTGGAGTAAAAAAATATCTTTGAGATCACAGGTTCTTGGTTAGTCTTTTTCAGTAGCCTTGCTAGCAGGATAGCACCAAACACTAGACTTCAATTAACTTCAAAATCTTGGTTCCAGCAACAGAAATGTTGCATTATAGGCTCACTGCGCCCTAATCTTTCACCAAACAAACAACAAAAATAATTCCAGTCAAAGTAAATGTTATCTTGGTTCCAGTTTCTAATTTGGGGAAAGCTGAGGATCTCATGATTATTTTTTTTGTTTGGTTTGGGTTTTGGTTTTGTTTTGTTTGTGCTTTAGACAGAATAATTTTTCTAATGATGTTTTATAGACTTTTATAGGGGCATAGTGGATCTATATGGAAGGAGGAAGAGAAAAGGTACTTTAATATAGGCCAGATTTATAGTGCTATAACAGTTGTGTCTATGTTAACAGTCAGGATCGCGGCTCTGTCCTTTTGTTTCCATTTTGTTTTTAAATTGGAAGTAGCTCTCTCGGAACAAAATAGGACTTGTGAATCCTTGTTTTATTTGATGGGCTGTTGTCCAGCTATGGGATCGCATTGGGACAGCGTGAGATCGAATGATTTTAGTGCCAAGCTTCTTAAGATATTTTTGTTCCTTAAATTGCGATAAAACCTGATGTAATTCCATTGTAACCTGTGACCATTGAGTAGATAATAATTACATTTAATTATCTAATAAGAGATTAAAAATAAAATTAACTCGCAAAGGAGGTAACATTTCTAGACACTGGCATTATCAGCTAAATCGTAGGGCCTTTTTTAATAGGTGTTGATTGTGTTATTTTTAACTCTTCTTTCAAACATCATGGAGGAGATGGTTGAAGAAATCATGTTTGTTGTTAAATAGCCACTCATAATTTTTTTTTTTAAACCTGGAAAGACAGGTTCTATAGTAAATTGTTTAGAAGTAAATTCGGTAAGGTTCTATCATGTAATTCCAAAAAGAAGAAGTGAAGGTTGTTTATTTGGGTAAGTATATTGAGTTGGAAAGCAAACAGTGGTATATATCACTCTAGATAAACAATTCTTCAATTATTTTAGAAAAGCCTTTTACAAGCTCTGAATTTGTTCGCTGTCTTACAGGAGGTTTACAAACCCCAGAGAAAATATAAACGTCAGAAGGGAGCTGAAGAACTGCTAGATGAGGAATCAAAGGTTCATGCTACGCTTCTGGAATATGGCAGGTGAAAGGCTTTATTTAATTGTCTGTGGGTTTTGTATTGTGTGTATTTAGAAGCATTCCATATAAAATTGGGATTGTGAGGTTTTTTTCCTACTACTTGAGAATCAAACTGTTTAAGATTTACTCCTGTTTGATTTCAAGTTTTGTTTGCTTACCCTGTAAATTCTCTGGGGACTTGGACAGTCCTCATATGCGTGAACAATGTTTGGTACAATGGGAGCCCAAGTTCTGACTTTATTCTGCTAGTAGGGTATGTTTTATTTAACACATTTGTTCTTGGCTTCATAGAAAAGGTTTAAATTCATGATGCGTCTAGGTAGGGTTTGTCAATCAATATTGCCTCTTTGCAAGCAATCCCTGGAAAGTGGGGAAAAAAGGACCTGAAGTTGTTATTGCTTCTTTTTGTAGTTCTAGTGTGGTTGCTACATCAGGAGGCCGAATCATGGTTTAGTGCTTTGTCTTCCTACTTTCTGCAAACTTCCATATAGAGATGAAGTTATCAAGGTTTGCACTTATCCGCTACCTTTGGAAGTCCCTTTGGTTTACTGAGAGCTCTCCAAACACATAAAAATACTGTTACAGAGTTTCTGTTTCTAGTTTCTCTTTCCAGTTTTCTTTTCGTAGTTTAGTGATATGGACAGCTTGTCTGCTGTTTGAGCTCTTAATATTTAATGAGTGCAAATGACATTTGAATTAATTTTTGTATCTTCTGTGGCGGCTTCTCTCCCAAAGCCATAGATTTTTTTTTTTTTTTTCTTTTCTGGGTCTCATTATTTTGGGTACCTTCCTTTTACCCTTTTTGTGTATTTGTCTTGGCACACAGTTGAAATCAACAAGTGTCCTGGTTGCAGATTGCTTATAATCTTCCCCTTTAATTCTTGGTGGTATTTTGTGAGGGCAGCATGGACAAATTAACATCTTTCAGCTTGTTTTCCATTACCGTGGGATGAAATCCTCTGTGTGTTCCTAATGGAACGAAACTATTGGGAGACATCTGGGTGTCCTGTTACTCAGCACAGCTCTTCTGAAGTTGCATAAAGCTTATATACAAATGGTTAACCGCAGAACTTTTCCCCTCCTTCCGCCACCGGTGGAGTTCAGTGCAGTGATCTGAAGTATAGGAAGCTCATTTAAAAGCCTGAGATGACTGGCTGCTGTCATGAGCTTAATCTGTTCAAAACACAGAGAGCTACAAGGAAATACAGTGCCTATGTATGTTAATATATATATCTATATATGTTAAAACAGCTAATTTTATTAACACAGTTAGCATTGACAAATTCTGTGGGCTGTAGTCTTGAATGAGTCTTATTATTTTTCTAACGCTAGTAAGGAGTTAAGCTTGATTTACGTCATCCATTTGAGAGTCCAATTCCTCCCTCCCCAACGAAAACTGAATTTGCAAGTTGGTGATAGTGTCAGGGATTATTCTGTTTGGCATGTGGATTTCTTCTCTGACTCTTTGGTGTGCACGTCTTGCCCTGAAATCTTTAGATTTAGATCAGGTCATTGATACCTCATCAATGCTCACAATGGGAATCCAAAGAGCTGGTATGGAAAAACTAAGTGGTGTACTCCTATTCTGTCTATTTATAGTTGCTTGTACTGTTTCAGTGTCATTACTAAATATTGGTGTCAACAGACATCTCCTAATAAATAAAAAGTGTATAAAATAGTTTATTCAGTCTTAGGAAATCTTTGTGTATGATTTTTCTAGAGTAATTTTAGTGGGTTTTGTTGTTTGTTGTTTTTTTTTTTTTAAAAGGCAAAACTGGAGATCAGTATATAGCTTGAAAATTGAAATAAATAGATGTTTTCTGTAGATCTCAGAAATTGTTTTAGCTTTAGGTACTGTGGAAAGTTGAGACCTAAGTAAAGGTCACTTCTGCTGGAAAAGCAGATAAATCTTCAATATAAAAAACAACAAAAATGGATGATGAAGAAAGCTTAAGTACAGAGAAAGGAAATAAGAACAGAAAAGTAGGAGGCATTGAAGATAAAAGGGAACTGCTCTTCTGTTGTACAGTGTGCATCAGTACATAGACATGAGGAGTGGTTTGGGACTAATAAGAAAGATGACCAAGAACTTGTGAATTTTGGGAAAGAAAATACCTCTTCAAGACAGTATTTGTCGAGACGATCTTGACGAAATTGCAGAGTCCTAGCAGAAGAACAAATGGAGACGAGGTATCTGGTGTTTGAAGGGCACGGAGCGTGACAGAAGACTTGCTGGACTGATTATTTAAATTGGCGATATGAATGAAGGACAGTGCTTACTAGAAGACAAATACAGTTAGTTATTTGGTGTGAAAAGCTTAACATGAATTGAATGGAAATGGGAGAAAATTAGGGTAGTTTCAAGGTTTGAATGTGTTTTGGTAATGCTTTCATAATGAGTTCTCAAAGCATAAAACTCTTGATCAGAAAAGTATTTCTGATATAGTGCAAAAATAAAGAACATCTGCGAAAATGACAGTAATGAGCCACACAAGTGTCTAGTTCATGTGTTTTGGTAGACAAAGAAACTCTGAAGGAGGAGGATAGTATGTCTGCTGTGAACCTAGTGATAAAATAACAAGAGTACAAGGACTCAGAGATACATACAGAAATCTGGGGGGGCAGTGGGGATTACTGTCCACTCTTCAACAATGTTAGGGGAACTAGAACACTGCTGAAAAAGCTAAATAGTAAATTTTTGGTAGATTTAGGAGTAGAGTTGAATGTTTTTAGAATTCAAATAGTTAAAGTGAACCTTTCATTCTTTTACTGCATGTAGATGGCAGTCATAGAAAACGGTGAGTAGAGGATGTTTTTTCCTCGGTTATCATAGAAATCGCTCCTTTCAGAGTACACTAATCATAAAAGTTAATTTTCTCAATCCAACAAATAGTATAGGGTCTTGCAATGTCCTGATGGCCAATGCAGCATTATTCAGATACAGCCAGTGATAGTGCCGTATTCTAAATTGTGTTTTGATCCTCTGGCCTCCAGCTTAAACGTTATCGCAAATGAGCTTGAATGTGGTAGGCCAGAGTCTGGCTTGAGAGTGGAGTGAGGCCAGTGAGCATCTTTCCACGCAGTTGCATAGTCTGTCTCAGCCAAGGGCTTTTGTTGCCATGTCTTTACATATTATCAATCGGTTTTCAGCAAAGCACAAAGTCAGTTCCTGTAACAGAGGTGAAATCTTAAGCTTGGGAGGCATCTGGGTTCTCTGTTGATATAACTGAAGTTTAAGTTTTTGTTGGTCTGGTGCAGTTCATTACTTGGATGCAGTTATCTGTGTGAAAATAAAATTGTGCTCCTACAAAAAGCGAGAACAGATATCTGATAATGGCAATACTAATTACAAATGCTTTTATACTAATACAACTTCATGCATATTCTGTGGGAGGGAAGTGCTCTGCCACATTCTTTGTACTGCTAAGCTTTAAAATGCACAGAGAACTTACTGTTGGGGAATTCTTGAAAACTTGGTATTATGCTGTAATAAATATGCCTGAATTTACCTCTTAAGTATGAGTGTTGAATAAATGGAGAACTGGAAATGGAGAACTGGTAACAATTGATACTGCTGCTGAAGATCACTTAACTTTTAGCCATAAAAGGCTTGTAAATAGTCTTGCTTCTGCAGTAGTTAAGGAATTAAACAGTGGTAGCTGTAAGTTAGTCAATCAGGAACATCACTTCTTTTCATATCTGCGTAGGTGCTGGGTTTAGTGCTTCGTAATACTGAAGATGATTGCTTACTCATATCTAAAATGTCTTTCTACCTGTTTTTTCTTTAAGATAATATTTCCAAACTAACAACATAACTCAAATGTCAATTTTTCCTCTCCCTCATAAAAAACAGAAGCAAAAAAATTTATTTGAGTATATATTTAAAGCTCCGAAAGCCATGCTTCAGAAGGAAATTGAAGATTCATCAAAGTACACAAGCATGAATGGTTTTTTTGGGAATAGAGATTGCACTGACAACTTCCTGAGGCCTTTCCAGAATTCAGAAGTACAGAGCTGGTAGCGGAGGATTAACTTCCAAATGGAAAGAGAGCATTGCTTTTTCCTTTCATGAGCTCTACCTGACAATATTTTGTGAACAGTCTAGATTTGCAACTCATAATGGAAAAAGTAGATGGAGCTGAAATTACTCTGTAAATATGCTGCAGTACCTGCTTATTTAGCTTATTTGAAGCATTCCAAAACCTGAACCTGGCTGTTGGTTTTGCTAAATGATTCACTTTTTAGTGCATTTCTTATGTTGAAAACTGATAGAAACTTAATTTATTTGTGGAAGTTGCAAACAACAATGTATTTCTTTCATGTTACTATTCTTTTAGGAGATACGGATTTAGCAGACAAGCAGGGAAAACGGAACAGGTAAAAATATACTGATTTTAAATATTCATATTGTGGGAAGAATTGTGTTGTTCTTGTTGGAGTGTTGGTTGCTGTAAGATCTTAAAGGAATACAACAGAATAAACAGCTATAACTTCTACTATTGCCACCTTTTAAAAATGGCTAACTGCAACTAAAAATCTGCATACCATGAAAGATGCAACTGATTACTATCTCCTTTTTTAAAGCATTTCCTTCATCTGTATTCAAATATCACATTTTGCAAACATTTTTCGCTTAGAAGAAAAGGGGTTTGGGTGTTTTGTTTGTTACGCTTTCTTTTTTAATGTGAGGTAATGAACGTATCCTGTCTGTTTAATGAGTATCTTTTAACTAAGTGTTCCATGATGTGACCATTAAAGAGTTTTTTCCTTTTCTTTTTAAAGAACCATTCAGCTTGGTAAGAAATTTTGTAGGCTTTTATTATATAACAGGTTATTTAATGTGATAGAGAAACATGATACCATGCCATAAATAAATCATAGTGCCTCTTCAAAAGCAGCATCCTTGCTGTGCTTTTGCTGATTATGGAATCATAAAATGTCCTTGTCAGAGTATTTGTAGTTTTATTATTTCAGTGCAGATATTACTTTGGCTACAAGCTTTTATTACAGACAGAGATAATGAAGAAATGCATAATGCATATCATGGACCCAGCAATACACTGAGTACTTTAAGGTTGCCCTTCTTCATTATCTCAATATTTCGCATACAAATTTAGCATTTAAATTTTATAAATGGAGATATTTCCAAATCTAGGTATACCTGTTTTTCCCCTCAAAGTAACTGCCAGGCTACAGTCAGGTTTATAGTGTTCATTTTGTTTCTTCAAAAATTTTACTGACTTTGGAATATCGTATATTAGAAGGTCATCATGTTTGTTGTGTGAATTGAGTCATCAGTAAGGCAGAAGTGGAAGTTTAAATAGTCAGGTTAGTGGTGCAATAGAGTGACCTAGAAATTTAGTCTGTCTATCACCAGTTCTCATTATTTTAGTGGTACGAATTCTTCTGACTGAACTAGGCAATTTTACACTTTTTTATGTTGTATGTTTGTTATACCAATATTAATTTAAATTAAGCTTTATAAAAAATTATTTATGTAAAAAAAAAAAAAATCAGCTTTCTCTTGTATAGCAGGCATCGTATTCTGGGGTAGCCAGTTGTCTTGTGAGGTTGGTAGTTCTTAGAATGTTGTGGAATAAGGGATTTTTGCACCAGACGTGTCCATAGCAAGCCAGAGACGCGGTCTTGAACAGCTGTAATACTTGCAAACTCAGTGAGGGTTACACCTCAGTTGGCATGAGTTGGAGTGTGAAGATGTTCCAGTAGCCAACATGTATTCATAAAAACAGAACAGCTATATTCCAGTTTTCTCCTTGTCTTAATACTTTAGATTACTGGAACTAAATACAGTATTTTCTTAATTTTTATTTTAAAGGCTGAAGATAAAAAAATTGCTCTAGCTCCAGGGCTTGCAGTAGCAGGAAAAGCTGAGCCTTGTGATGAAGATGACCTTCAGGCTGCTGAAGAGGTGTGCCATATACACAGTAGGCATGGATGTTACTAACTTGGGGGGAGGCCAGCAGTTTCACTGCCCAGTCCTTCTCTGCAAGAAGGAAAATTTCCATGCTTAGCTGAAGTGGGAGTTGCTTCACGCAGGAGAACATGGAACCTGAAATTGATGCACAAAATTAAATGTTTGTTGATGATCAATACCAAAAAATTGAACTTTTGTGTTGGAATCCAAGCATTTTTAAGAGGTCAGTTTTTGCTTGATAGTGGGAGCGGAATACTCTGAACCTGTACTGTTATAAAGAATTTTCCTTTATGTGATAACCTTAGCCACTTCTTTCTTAACTTTCACAGGCTTACTGTCCCCTTACATGCATTAAAATACACGTGTTATATCATAGTAACTGTATACCTGTGTCCCTGTCACTAGGCAGAAATAAGTTAAATAATAAAGGATAAATTGTTATGTGTAATTCCTCATATTTTGCCCTAGCTTCGCATTAAAACTCTGATGACTGGAATGGCTGCAATGGCAACAGAAGAGGTAAGCAGCATTTAAAACTGATACAGATTTGTTTAAATTCTGGTTGGTTATGGCAGTTATTCCTAAAATGGGGTTAATGGTGAGTCTGGAGTCTTGGAATGACTGCATTTAAATTTTCACGAAGGGAGTGCAAGAAAAGATTGTTGAATTAGGAAGACGGTAATTTTTATGAGACTGGTGACTTATTTGCCTTGAAATGATAAAAGCAATATAAATAAGGGCCTCTTTCAAATGGTTTCTACAAGGGGAATTTAAGGGGAAAGACATCATGGTGCAGCTACTCAAGCAAGATGCAGTGTGATCTTACTTTGTTCATCTTGTGAAGACATCCAGAGGAGTAATCATTTTACTGGGGAGACTGGAGGAAAATTGTATGCGTTTCAAGGTGTTTTTCAAAGCACTGATAAATATTTATAAACAACACTATTAGTGTGAGACACTGAAAATACTGGCTATGTATCTTGTTTTCAAGTTCTTAATTGGTCGTAGTCATTGATACAATGGAGCTTTTAGGCTGTTGTAATTTTGAAAATTCTTACATTTTGATTTCTGGCTGAGAGAACTGGGAGGAAATTAAGTTGTTAAACATTGTTTCTGTTTATGCTGAAGTCACAGAAGGAAAGGTAGTAATTAGTCTAGTCTCAAAGTTGATTGACAGGCTTTCTACTGAAATCCACTGTAGAATTCAGTTCTACTTGAAGATTGTTTTTGTACATGCATCCAGTTTGAAAGGCGAGTTCTTTCACACTCCGGCATTGTTATTGTGGTCTAAAAGTGAGTTTTATTACTGTGCATGCAAAATTCAGTAGACAGAATACAACTTGAAGCAAGTTTTTGAAAGTCTGAATTCAAATTACCACTGTTGTTTGTGAAAATGTTGTAAGTGAGAAATTCCCATCAGCGAAGCCGTTTTTTGGGGTGGAATGGTTCTTGGTATTTTTTTATGATTAGAGGTTTTTAACCAGTGTAAAGGTTTTGTACATTTCTGTTAAAATTAGAGCTTGGGGAAATTGCCATGTAAAAAGCCCAGGCCTTTCCAAAACTCCAAACATTTTCTTGACACAATTGCAGGGCAAGTTGACAGCAAGCACAGTTGGCCAGATTGTTGGACTCCAGTCAGATGAGATCAAGCAAATAGTGTCAGAATACGCTGAAAAGGTAAGTGTGTTACCTGATTATGTTTTGCCAAGTCATGTTTGATAGCTTGTTAATTTAGGCCTTAAGCTTCCAACTTAGTTGCTGTGATTCTCTTGAAACATCACTGTTTCGTATGTGTTGTGGGTAACAGCACAGTCGGGGTTCAGGGAAGTATTTTAATGAGATTTAAACGTGCACGAGCTTTTGGTGTGACAGCACATATTCCTGAATTGCATTCATGAGTAGTTTGGGTTTAAGCACTTTCTTAAATGTTTTCATGAATAAAGAAGGTCCTGGGTTGATATCTATTCAAACCAGAGGGTTGATATCTATTCAAACCAGAGGGCTGATACCTAGTCAAACCAGAGGCCTAAACTCTTAATGCATTTTAAAATGTTCAGTGTTAAGCACAGAAATACAGTTCTGTGGGCCTGCCCAGAGAAGAATCTCTGCCTCCTCCACTTGGATTTTCAGACACTGGGATCTTACTTATATTGGGCTCCAATTATCAGCCACACCCTGGATCTCTCATTCTGAACCTACTATCATCAAAAACAAACCTTTGTTGTTCTTAGAAGTCAAGGCAATTAACTGTGTATACTAGCTCCATTTATTGTGTTCAACTGTGATTGTTTTTACAGTAATGTGAAAAGAAAATCTGGCTCTTCAAGCAATTAATATATACAATACATCACTGCCAGATATGAGTTATAGGTCGCTCTTATTTGTCCAATAGTCTTCTCATATTTCGTCCTTTTTGTTGACACATATGAGGTATGGAGCTTTCCCATTTGGGAGATAAACCCTATAACTCAACAGAGTCTATAGCAAATTCTTGGCCTTTCTTTATTATAAAGGATTGGAAGAACAGAAGCCCAAGGGTCATATTTCAATGTTACATTTCTTCTGTTCTGAGAGAAGGCAGCAGGACCTTGACTATTATAGTAGAACGATGATTAATACTCTGGAAAGTAAGAACTGATTCAAGTCATACCAAAAATATATCGCTTTTTAAATCTATTGGATGTGACAAAAGAAATTTCTGTGTATGCATGCATGCATGCCCCAGGAAAAGAGAATTAAGGATGTTATCGAACAGGTTATTGAAGCATCAGCAATGTTTGGATATAGTTCTAATAGTTTTAACTCCTTGTAACTATACATAGTCTGAAGAACACAGCAGTGCTTGTTTGTCTACCAGAGTCTTAATAGAATCCAGAGGCCCAGTGAAGATAGCTAGCAAACAAAACTCTAGATCTGATGTTGCCATGTGCCAGGACCTTTCTTACAAGATGGCATTTTTGTGAAAGATCAACGCGTACAGTTTTATGCATTTGCCCCTCCTTTCTGCTGCTGTGTTAACTTGCTGGGTAAACTGGAAGGAAGATTCTAGAGTCATTCCTCACTTGCTAAAAATCCTGGCAGAAAATTATTAACATGGCTTTTATCTGTCTATTCATCACGGGCTTTCTAAGGCCAGTTATTCAAAGCAACTTTGATTTTCCTGTGTTAGAAGGATTCTTCCTCTGAGAATTTACAAGTATAGTCATATATAACAAGTGATTTTACTAGCAGTAGAATAGGGGGAAAAGATTGTTTCCTGGTAAAATGAGAGAATGAATAAAACTAGAGAAGTGCTGTCTCAAAACTACCCCCTTCAAAAATGTCTCAAGGAGAATCCTCTTCAACAGTTTTAAATCCTGTTTGCAAGTTTTTTATATCTTGAGAAGTTGACTCAGAATATTTTTGGACTTCTAGAATCCTATAGCAGAGATTACTATGCACCCTACATGGTCAGTTGCATTTTTCTCCACAAATTGGAACCTGATTCCTCCGTAACTTTAAAGCTGCAGTATTGCTGCAGAGCAGATCCTTAGCCCGCTTTGACAGCACAAGGCTTAACCCTAGCTTTTTCATTTGCAGACCAGAAGGATTTTTCTGCAGAAACCTCTGTATTGTGGTGATGGTTATTTTCCATTTTCAAAAAGCAAGCTTTAACAGTCCACTTCTTGAGACATGACCTTTTCTTTATGCCAAACTTTTACTGGAAGGTTTTTTACTATTTTTGCAAGATGGGTCTCAGACTGGTTTAGCTCATGTTTCTTTCTCTTGCAGTTCCAGTTATCTTGATTTGCATGGTATGGATGTCAGATAGGCTAGTCATATGGTGAGAAGGATGGGGTCTTAGAATGCATGACGTGATGAGGGAGTGTGATTTGGCTAAATAATGACAGGAATAAGTAAATCTGAGTTTGTATTTGTTGAATAGTTCAGTGTTACAGGTGTTGCTTAGAGGCGTTTTTCCTTTCCTAACAAATGGAAAGAAAGCACGTGAATTGTTGGGTTAAGAATTGGTCTTTTCTTGCTGTGGATGTAAAAGTATAACAAATCGTTAAGCTACTCTTCACTATGAATAACATAGAAGATGGAGAAGAGGAAGACAGGTTTTGCCTCTGTCTTCATTTAAAATTAAGCTGTTAACGAAGACGTGCTTACCCATCTGCCTAGAGTGGATACCAGGAGCAAATATGGGTGAGGAGTATTTCATACTTCTTGTAACATTTTTGCTGATTATACATTGTAGTGGTTGTCAACATTTGGTAATTATTAAAAAAGCACTTAGTATTGAAGTCTTTGACAGACTCAGCAAATTAGCACCTGAAGTACTTGAAAATTTAAGTGTTTTTCTAACGAAATATTGGAAAACGGATTAACTGGAAAAAGTAGTCTGAGTGCATGAAGCAAATAACCAAAACAGATGGATGTAAGTATTAAAGTGAGGACTTTCAAAAGGTACAAATAATGTTTAGGCAAATAATCAGTTAGACATCTAGCTATTACTGATTTTTAATCGTTCTTTTGTCTACTGCAATTATTCAACTTCTATTATAAATGTTATTCCTGGTAAAGAATGTTTCTGGCAGCTTTCCTTGCACAATTCCGAGAGAACAGGAGACTGGCTCCAGATTGCTGTCTTCATTATGTATTTATGAGACACTTTCTTGGCGGTGCATGCTGGATTGAGTAGTTTTCAAAGGCTGGTGTCCGTAGTACACACGCACACACAAAAAAACGCTTAGAGTGGTAAGTTGATCTACCACACTGAATATGTCATTGTCATTCAGCATAAAGATGCATCCAAGCCGGTATTTCAGAATCTAAATACACAATTGTTCAAGGCTTTTGAAAGTTCTGGATCTACTTATTGGGGTATGGAGCATCTCTGATTCAACAAGTTCAGTAAATACCACTGCTTAAGGTGGTTTCTAGCATGTTTGTATTTTTTCAGTTTGAGAACTCTACCAGGTTTAACTGTAATGCTGATACAAAAAATTATTTCTTTCTTTTGGTATACTGTAGTGTTTTCCATCCATCCCAGAGCACCTGACTTTATTTTTAGCTTACTTTACCTGTTACCTTTGGGGTATAATTTAGTTGTTAAGCTGCTTCTTTATCTTGATGTAAGATAAATTGGTAAGTCATTCTTTCTGTTTGATAGTGGGACACAGTTCTTGATAAGGAATATCAGAGATGTGTCCCACTTTGGCATTTCCTGAGCTACTGAAGAAGCAAAAAGTAATGGCGTGAGGTCCAACAAGCTGTTGTTATTGTTTATTTTAGCAATCTGAGCTTTCTGCTGAGGAGCGACCAGAAAGGCTTGGAGCTGCCCAACAGCATAGAAGGAAAGTAGCATCTCTGAATAAGCAGATTTTGCAAAAAAACAAACTCCTGGAAGAGGTAAGTATTGTGTGTGTAATAAAGAAGAAAACATTGATAAATGTAGTTGATCACGAAGTTTTTGCCATCCAGAAAAGATTTGCAAGCTATCTTCTGTACCAGCAATTTGTCATGCTGAACATTCATTTCAGCATCTCTGAATGTCTTGCTTGCACACTTATTACTAAGACAATGCGGCTGGTTTTATGTTAAAAAATTGTATAGCCCTGTCTGTGAGGAGGAGGCTAGATACCCAAAACGTGCTTTTCCTTTTTTTTCTTGCATACCTCTCGGAGAAAAATAGAGTATCTCCAATTGGCTTGTTAGCTGGAGTGTTGAATGGGCTGTTTTCACAGTTTCAAGAAACAATTTAGGAATTTACTCTAAAATATGCTACAAATTACTTTTTATCACTTCCTGTCCTTTATATAAGCGAGCTTGTCTCACTGACTAAGGTGGGTTTTTTGCTTGCTTGTTTGTTTGGGGGTGCTTTTCAACAGTCACTGCTTGGTTCACATCTTCACATTTGTTTTAGCGGGGAAAGGCTCTTGAATTTGTGACCGATGTTCTGTTCATATCTATAAGTAAGAGCAAGAACCACCATTCCTGTATTTCAACCTACTTACACTATTGCCATTTAAACCCAGAAAAGTATAAGTGGAAAAGCTATGCCATTAATGAAATGCTGCTTTTAATTATGCATACTGCTGTAATCAGCACCATGCCATCTTTAGCTTGCAGAATCTGATGAAAACATATTGCATCAGAAACAGTAATCTACTTGAGGAAAAACTGCTGCTGATTATTTCTGTGGTTGAGACTCTGTCAAGTACAGAATTGCTCCAGCAGCCTTCAGCAGTTTTTTGTTTTGTTTTGCTCTGCTCTTGTCACTAACATCTTAACGCTTTACATCTTAACTGGTTTTACCTGTTAAATGTTGGGGGTACAGGGGCTCCGAAAGATAGGTGTCTGTATGGCACGTTTTGTGAGACAGTGATATGTTCAGTCTTACAAACAGCAAAGGTAAAAGAATGGTAGCTTTGAAAGCGTTACCTACTATGGTATAACGATGGGAGCACTAGATTTTAAACCCTCCTGCTCAGCCAGTTACTAGACCTGACTTTTTTTTTTTTTGTAATTTATTTTTAAGATGACAATAAAATAGTCTCTAACAGTGCAATAAAATCTTTCCTTTAAAGGATATTTATCGTTCAAAACTTAAATCTCCTTTCAGTAAAGCATATGCTGTGAACCATTTTGTGGAGTCTCCGACTAACATTCAAGTAATACTAAGTTTAAATAAAGCTATAGAAATAAAACTTACGCACAAAATAATGGAAAGACTAATTGACTATCCTATTCTTTGTTTCTCTCTTCTTTTTTTTCCAACTTTAATGAAAAGCTTTATGAAGAATCAGCGCAGGTGGTTCTTTATTTATTTTGCACAAAAATAAGACTTTCAAAGGGTAGAGTTTGACAGTGTTTTAACTGGTAAATATTAGAATGCATTTCTTTTGGAACATGCCCAACTAGTTTTGTTCTTCTTAAACTGATGCATTTCTGTTTGTGTTGCCCTCTGGCATGGCCCATCTGTTAAAAATAGCATTTTTTCATAGTTAATAACACTACAATTATTATTTGCACTGTATGTTGAATGTACACTGTGTCTGTCACAATTCCTCCCCATTCTAGAGTGAAATATTAGAAAGTATTACCGTATGCTATAATTATGATATACTGAAATTAAATATACTTTTTTTTTATTTGAGTTTGTACTCTTAACACTTTGGTAATATGAATTTTCGATGTCTGTTTATGTCAAACATAACTTTGGTGCCCTGTCAAGATGATGACTGTTGTTAAAAAAAAATATATTGCCGATACCTAGCATTTAAATGCGGGCTGAAGTGTCAGGCTTTCAAAATCATAATATGGGCTTACACACAGTTAAATCCTGAGTGAATTCCCATGTTGGTTTGAGTTTTTTTTCCTGAAGTAGAAATACAAATTACAGAATGAGATCTTTGGAATTTCAGAAGTGGGGGAAAAGAAAAGGATGTTCAGTGCATCTTAAGTCATTACAGTACATTTCTGTCACACTTTAACTCTTCTTTTAAACCACAAAGGCTACAAGACAAATCTATATGAAGGGAGATACAGATGTGCTGCGTGTATATTGTAGAATGGAGACAGATGCAGGCTCTCTCAGCATCCACTCTGAGCTAGCGGGTTGCAAACCTGTTCCAGACGAGCAGCTTTGCTGTCACGACTGGCAACGGTTTAGCACTGCCCTGTTAGAAAAGGGGGCACGTTTGCTCAGGTTTAAGGATGTTCTAGTACAGTTCTACAGATTTTGAATGGATTTTGGTTGTGTCCGCCAGCTCATATCCATCTGCAGTTTTTCTGCAGGCAGTATGTAGACGTGTGGGAGGCACGCTCAGTTTGAATGCATGTATGTACTAGGACACTCCACCACAGCCCTCACGTTGTGAGAACAGTTCGTGTTCTTGGAGGCAGTTAGCTCAAGCTTAATTTTGGGGACGACAACCTAGGTACAATTGTGTAGTAAGAGTGGCATTAGGAAACTGCAACAGCTAGCTCGGGTTTCAAAAAATGAAAACGTGCACTAACACGGTTGTCCAGCCACGTTGTTTCCTTGGTCTTTCTTGCTTAGTTGAGCAGTGGGAGAGGCTGGTAAATGAGCTTAGCAGTTGTGGGTAGCTTTTGCAGCTATTCTGCATTCTGCCGTTGTGATCTGGAAAGCAGAAAGCATCTGCCAATGTCTCAATGACTGAAATGTTCAAAAGCTTTTTTTTTCTGTAGCAGATGGCTCTTATATTCTAGAGAATTGCAGCATAGTGTGGCTGCTGAATTAGTAATACAGAATATGCCTGTAACTAGATATACGTTGCGTGGATTACATTTTCGTGCCTGGTGCAAGTAATTTCCTTTATCAGTTTCCGTGGCATATGAATGAATGTATTTGTTTGTTTTTCACATACCGCTGAGAAGAAGAAAGCAGTTTGGGGTGGCGAGGAAACATAGTTGTAAACCAGACAAAATTGGTAGATTCCTTACTTCATTACAGATCTGCTTTTAACTGCCCAACAAACTTCATAATCCATAGGAAAACTTAAGTATTTTTTAAATCTGTTATCATGCTATTTGCCATTTTAACAGTTGAGAACCCTTTAATAGTGTGTTGCTTATTTCCAGTACATTATAGTCTCAGTGCTATGTTTTTATATGGGAAAAAAAGTACTGACAGCTATAAGCCAAATGTAATCCTTTTATCAGTTTAGTAGAGTAAAAATTTCCTGGCTGATTTTTTTTTTTTTTTTTTTTTTTTTTTTTTTTTTTTTTCCCAAAAACACTTTTTAAAAAAAGCGAAACAAAAACCCC